AAAAATATCGTACTTGACATGTCGCGTTTGCACGGAAAATTCGTTGAAAAAAAAAAAAGGAAATTGACAAGAAGACAACGAGCGTATCAACGTGATGATCACGCTTTTTGTTTCTTTTTTTTTTTATCACGATTCGTTTCGCAACATCGACGGACTTTATAGAAAAAAGTATAAAAGAGAAGAAATAAAGAGATCAGAGACGAATGACGATTTTAGTTTCTCTGTTTGACTGTTTGAACGAGACGCGTGCAGATAAATACGCACAATGGATGCAAAAGATTCGCAGATAATTGTATTTTTTTTATATAAATTATTAATTAAGATACGATTAAATTTAACATCAACACCTGTCAACGATTAAATTTAAAAGTTCTTCGCAACATATAAAAATTATTCGAATCGATACGCGTGAAAAATATTTTTGCACAGTGATGATAGAGTGTGGTCATCTAGAAAAGTTTTTGGAACTGTACTCGCCGTAATTCATACAGGATTTGAAAAGAATAGAAAAGCACCGAGTCGCGACATTTATGTCTAGTTCACGATGTCTAGTTGTAATGTTTATTGGCCAATAAAGCAGACTCCATTCCAAAAACCATTAAAATATCCAAAAAGAGTGTAATGTGTGTATAAATATATATATATACTTTAAAGATAAAATTCAGAAATAATCTCCTCATTGATTCAATGATTTGAACTACTTGAAAATTATCGATAACTATTTTACTTATTAAGATTTACTATGGAACTACACGAAAATTAAGGATAAAAGACATACAAATTTCGTAATAAATCATTAAAGTTCCATTTCAAGATTATTAATAAATACAAATATAATAATTGAAATAATTATTGATAATTTTCAAATAATAAATCAATGAGAGAAGATTATTTCTGAACTTTAGATTTAGATTTTTGAATATTTATATATAAAAGAAAGAGAAAGAAAGAGAAAAGGAGAGAAAACGTACTCCTTTCAGCAACTTCTAATTTCGAAATTATACACGACTTCATCAATCTGCCATCAAGTTAATCCAAATTCCTCATATTCTGTGCTTTCACTCGTCCACCATTCCCATAACTCCGTTGTATCCCCAACGGATCGATTTTCTCGCAATCATTAAGCCCCCGATCTTAAATTACCACCCATTAAGTCAACGTTCGCTATCCACCGATTTCGAAAGCTCAGCAAGGAACACCTGTGAGGAACTCGCGGCTTTCTGTCGAGACTTGGTCGACAAATTGGATATTCCATCCGATGATGGAACGAATGCGATTAATTTCGATGACAGATTGTTTTGCGTAATATCTTTTCGAGAATACAATTTTATTTTCTTCTTTCTCCTGCACGAATGAACAGAATAATGAAATAGAAACGCATTTGGTATTCGTGCATTTCGTGTATTTCAATGCATAAAAATCTTAGGTTTAATAATTATATATATTATATTCATTTTATTCAGTGCAAGGATGTTTATCCTTTGATAAGTAAATAAATAAATAAATAAATAAATAATAATGGGGAATTGAAAAGATGAAACGTTTCCTGGGAAGAAGTTAACAATTCCGTCGAAATTTTAACGCATACGAGGTATATGAATTAGTTTAAATATGAGAATAAAATTTCATCAAAATGTTAAATGGAGAGGTAATTACTATCGTCCATCACGAATCGGAATTGAAATCGGGGAAAATCGAAAGGAATAAATTTCCAGAAAAACAAATTCCCAAACCATAATCGAATTTTCGTTTATCCGGTATGTATACAACCGCTTTCATCGTTCAAAAACTGTTGATTGCAAATGTTTCGCCCATGATTCGAAAAAAAAAAAAAAAAAGAAGCAATCGAGGAATCATTGCCTGCGATTCGAGCGACATCAAAACGAGCAATAAACGGCGATAATGGAAACACGAATTCGAAACCGATTCGCGAAAAACTCATTAACGGAAGTATCGTGTTTTAATCCAAATTGGATTAATCCCAATGAAATGTTAATTTGACCGGTTTATAGAGTATCCTTAACGTTAAAATCGTACCATTAATCATTTATATCACAATTTATTATTATTATTATTACTATTTTATTAAAGGAAATATATTTGCACGAGTAATGAAATATGTTATCGTTGCGATAATTTTCAGTTAAAAAAATAAAAAAATAATAAAGTTTTGCTTGTAGGAAGGAAATATATTTCGTTTCATCCGCTATGAAAAAATGTTTCAGCCATCCATCCACGTTTACAACGAAATGCAAAATATCGAATGCATTCTTTTTTTTTTTTTTTTTTTATGACGATTCTAGTGTTCTAGTGTTCAAAAATATAACAAATATAGATTTATAAGAAGAAAGACGAAACCTATTTTTTCCCCTTACAATCGAAATATATTACTTTTTGTAAACGAAAAAAGAGTGCAACTGTAAGAGAATAATCGCACGTCGATTTATTTAATTAATCTTTTTTTATTAAGCGCTTTCCACCAGCATAAAGTTCAGTTTTTTTTTTTTTTTTTTGTCGCGCGTATGCAGTATCGTTTAACATCGTTACGCCTTTGGTGTGTTCGCGTTAATTATATCACGACATAAATTGCTGAAACTTTATCGAACGCTGACGCGGCAAATTGAGCGGGCCGTTTTATTAAAAATTACATATAACAGTCAAACCACTACCAACTCTGTTGAACGTTTTAATCTTTCGTTTCAAAAACGTTGGCAAACCTGGGCGCGTTCACACCAAGTTTCATACGTCTTTCTTAATTAAGATTTTTTCTTTTTTTCAAATAGATGATATAGCAATATAATAACAGATATTGCAAAAACGCAAAAGTTTCTCGTTACAAAATGAATTCAATTAGGATACTTGTAAGGCAAATACTTTATTGAAGTATCGTAATTTATTCATTTTTTTTTTTTTCATAACATTCTTCGTTTCTGCAATAGCTATTATACGATAATATTATCTATTGTCAAAAAAAATAAATCGAAGTAAAAAAAAATTGAAGAATCATCTTATGCTCTAATAAAAATACTTTTTCTGTATATTTTCACGTAATCCTCTTAACTTTCATTTCATTTTATTTTCGTATCAACGAATAACAACCTCAATATATAGAAATAACAAATCTAATTGAAACATCCGGCAGGATTATTTTGCTATGGAAATAAAAATAAAGATACCGTTAAAGGAAAAAAAAAAAAACTCTTTCATCAAAAATTAATTACTTTGATAAAATCAATATTCAACGTAAAAAAAGAGATATTTCAATTTTTAATTATAATATTAATTTCCTCTCGTTCTTCTCTAACAACGTTACGTTACCACAAATCTTTACGTAAATTTAAATTGCGTAGAACCTTAACAAACAAACTGGTTTACTGGTTTACAGAAAAGGGGACGAGTCAATTAACCAGGGATGTTAGAATCCATGGGAAGCACACGTTTGGTATTCGAACCGAAATCATGTACGGATTTAACGGTGATTTAGCCAAGAGAATACCGCAGAGCAACCGCGTAAAATGTAAATCGTATCAATACTTGTTTCGAATGGATTTTCGAATAGTATCACGAGGCCTCTCGAAGGAATGCTCGACGCTCTGGTAAGCGAATTAACATCACGATCCGTTATACGATATCGTCAGGAACGAAAATTTATCGTTAAAAATAATATATCGTGGAAAATGAATTTTCAACTTTTTAATATTAAATTGGCTAATAAAGTTTTATTTCAATGGATTATATTAATATTGTTCTACGCAAAAATATGTAAAAAAATATATATATATAAAATTGAATGAAAAATTAAAATGAAAGAAAGTTTATTATATTATACATCTGTTATTGAAGGTTTAAAATGCAACGTAGAGAAATAAATTTTATATCATTGTGATAAAAATATCGTTCTGATCGTTACGAGTATGAAAATTTGATAAATGATTATTTGTACCAAATATCGTGTAATGTATCTAAAATTCTTTATACTTTGTCAAAAAATAATTAATATTCTGTTACAACAAATACATGAATATTTTGAAAAAAAAACATACAAATGTCAATTGTTGTATGAATCTTTGTATGAATATCGTCAATCATGATGCTCTGGCAATCTGTTTTTTCAATAAATTATACGTTCCTTTTCTCCTTAATAATTAAATGTAAACAATACAATAATAAAATATCCACAAAGAAAATTTGACAAAATCATTATACGAGAATAATTTCATCAAGTGAAACTTGTTTAAAAAAGAATCTTTCAAAATTTTTGTTAATATCAGATCGTAGTAATTTATCGAAATTTCTAAATATATATACATCGCATAAGTCGTGCATGTTTAATCACCTTGTCGCTCCAAGAACTCGTTACCTTTCGTTAAGTTCGTCTGAACGAACTCGTCATTTTAACCGTTTCTTCTCGACAATTTTTATATCCAAGTTTTAAACAAAGAATCGAAACTAAATTCTATTAAATTTCTTTATCTAAATTCAATTAAACCAGCGCCGAATTAACTATGTAAATGTTTCTTATGCAAATGGAATTCCCATTCGATTCGAAAATCCGAATATTAAATCCCTGCTTTGAATTTCGAAAATCGTATCTTATCAATCATTCGTCGCAATATAATGGAAATTATTAAAAAATTCAAAGTGGAAGAAAAAGAATACAAAGTCACTCACACCTTTTTGAAATTAATTAATCGCCGCGAAGGGTTGACTCGCTTTATCACGATTTCACGGTAAAAACGATGTTAATGCGAGAAGTGAAGCTTTGCTCGGGAAAAATACACACTTTGTCGGACGACAAATCGGATAAAATTGTCGGGACGACGTACTCGCTTTATCTTGTATTCAACGACATCCGATACACGTTAATTCCGCCCGTTTTTAAAGGCGAGCCCCCCCTCTCTAAGGGCAATAAGTTGTCCTTGATATCGCTGTTTCAAAGAGCGATTTAAACACCGGTTTATAGGTTGGGCATAAAGTGTCGTACACCATCGAATACCATTTATATTAATGTTACGATAATACGTGTGTCGACGCTTGTTCGGAATTATTGATTAAGGGCAAAGCATCGCAAAGACTCACCTGCGATCGACGATCTCACGTATGCGACAATTTCGACGCGATTTTTGGATGGGAATTGAACGAAAAAAGGTACTCACCTGCAACAGAAAATGATCATTAAATGTATTGGTGCACTTTTCGTTTTTTATATTGAGAAAAAGAATCGAATAGAATTAAATTTGAAGAATTAATAATGCGTGTCGCGATTTATTTAAGAATCTGAAACGTAAAGAAGATTTGAGATGTATTTTTAGAAATTAGTTTTTGCTAGAATACAGATAGAATTCGACGCTTTCTCGATAAAATTTTATTGATTTTTGTTGATTGAAAAACTCTCTTTCTCGTTAGTTCTGCACGAGATATCAAACTTATATTCAATCGCGCGATATTAAAATTCCAAATTGATTTTAAAAATCGAAAAATATTAAACGAAGTATACAAACAACAACAAGTTTTATCCACGAACGATTTTATTTAAATTATAATCGTCGCGATATCAACGAATGTTAATTAAATATTCATAAATATTCATTCGCTAGGCTTTCTATCTTGAAAGATGTTTCATTCGAAACTCGTCGGCACACGTTCAATTAATCAAATGTCAGAGGCATCTGTTAACCTGGCCGGAAACGAATTAATTCCGCGAAAGGATTGGTATATACGGTAATAATACGGCAATTAAAATTTTCAACTTGTTCACCAACTTTCCTACGCGAAATCTCCTTACACGCATTAAACAGAAATTAGAATAATTAATTCAAATTGCAAATCCCTTCGGATAAAACTAAACTGGGAAAGTGGTTACGATGTTATGCCCAATTTCGTTTGCTTAAATAACAATGTATAACATTAATATTTGATCGATCGTATTCACCATTATATCATACCATCTGCTTAAACTTGATGAAAAAGAAATAAATTTTTGAATCGTTAATAAGATAGAGGCAATAGAGGATAATGTGGATAAGTGAACACGCGAATGAAACAAAATATTATTATTTTTACACGGACGATAATTTATCTTTAGAATAAACTTTAAAATTAACGATCGAGAAAAGAATTTAACATCTGTGTTGTTACTTAAAATTGACTTGATATTTGAACGAAGCGAAGCGAGGCGAACAAAATTTTGCTTGTAAATACGAACAGACGGGAAAGGTTGTTTTAATTATTCCATAGAAGCTCATGAATAAATATGAGATCTGGCTACAGCACCGAAAACGAGCAGCCAAAGTGTACAGCATATATGGATGAGCGAAATAAAACGAAGGAACCATTTTTCTTATCGCGATTCTTTTCGCGTAATTTTTAATTTCAACTTTCTTCGATCTTAATCAACTGAATGATATTGAAATACATACTAAAATATCGATGATATTTACCCGATAATTTCGAGTACATACAAGATATTTCTAATGAATGATGTCGTATTAAACACGATCCACTACACGAGGATCGAGCTTTTGAAAATAGAATTTCAAATTCTACGTTATAGAACTTCGAATTTAAATTCACGTTGGATGAAGAGGGACAGGAATAATGAATGCAACGGCGGAGTAACGGAGATAGAGCGATCTCATTTCCATCTCTCTCCTCCTTGAATCGCTTGTAACTCGATAAACAAGCCTTCCTAATTTTCGTATATCAAATTTTTACATTTCTAAAAATCGAATCTCCAAAACGTACGAATATATTAACCTCTGCGTGTATTTCTGTTTCCCCTAAAATAACGATTCAGACTCGACAATATATCAAAAAAGATCATCGAGATGGAAAATTGAGATTTAAAAATTCCTCCTTTCATTCTATCACTAAACCAAGTAAGAAATTCCAAACCAACTCCTCCTCCTCCAATAATACCACGTCACGAACAATTCCAAGAGATACAACAGAGATTTCGTTGAACGTGTACGAAATAAGAAAACGATCCTCGTTTTCCACGTTGAATTTAATCGAGGATTCAAATTCCGTCGTCAGGATGGAACGTCAGGTCTGGCCCTATCCATCGAAACGAATCTCGCAGAAGGATCGTTCGTGGACATGGATCGGTTAAAACAGCGAGGAATAGTGGAGCGAGGAAGGGATATTGTAAAGACGAAGGTAAAGACGATTGTCGTCTCGTTTGCCTGGAGAGACGACATAAAAGGAAACGGTTTCCGGATATCTGGACCAGAAGCAATCGGCTCGATTCAACAGATATGAACAATCGTCAAAGGCGGAGGTCAGGGCACGGCTCTTTAATTTCTTTTGCACGTGGAACAATCTCTTCTATAAATCGTTGCAAATTGAAAGGGAACTTTGTGTTTTTTTTTTTTTTTTCTATTTCGAGGGGTAAAAAGACGAGGAAGATGTTTCCTTCCTCGAAGGAATTTGGAGAGTGTGTATCGTACGTGCCTTTGTCGAGGATGGATTCGAAGCATTATTTCGATAACAGTGGAAATGAATGTTTTTCTATGAACTCTTTAGTCTCATTAAATTTCACGTTTAGCATTGTACGATAATCAGTATCGTGGAAGTACGTTTCGAGAAATTTAAATCATATAAAATATTTTTATAATTTTTTTATAATTTAAATTATGGCCTCGATCGATTTTCAATTTACGATGTAATTATTTTTTAAAAATCTTCATTCAAAAGTGATTGTCGCAAAGAAGTGAAGGAGCCGATTATTCGTAACGCAGGCAATCTACCACGAATTCTACGAGAATTAAACCCCGAATTCGACGAATAATCCCGATCAAAAGCTCGGCTCGCCTAACGGCTAGGCAGATCATTTATTATCATCGCTTCTTACGCTGCAAGTCGATCAGAGCCATGTTAACAAGAGCCTGGAGAATTATCCGCGCGAAGGCGTGGAAACCGAAGGCACGATCTGACCAGTTAATCCAAGATTGATTGTTTCCCTCTTGTCCATCGACTCTTATCCCTTTGAGCATCCTCTTCTCGATGAAACCACGAGCTCGATTACGCGGTATATATATATAACACACGATAGCGATAGACGAGAGCATCACGATGATCCAATCGTTGTTATGAATGTGCTTGGCTGCGAAAACACGTGTCTCTCTCCTTCCCTCTCTCTCTGTGTGTGTGCTCTTCAAACATTGAAAGTGTAGCGTGGCAATTACGCGGACGGTGTTTCCATGGGCGACACTTAGATTGAAAATTGATTTTGAACGTGGTTGATGCGACAAGGTGGGGTGTCGAGTTGATTAAGGTATTTGCGATTGGACACGAAGAAGCGAGGATGGTGATGGATATCGAGGATATTTTGATATTGTGATATTGAATTTGATTTAGGGGGAAAAGAATCTTTTTTATTATTCTCTTGAAATCGAATATGAATGTATATAAATATGTTCGATTGTTTGAGAATAATAATAATGTTCCGACGTTTTAA